GCCTGAACTGCCTCTCAAAAGGCGGTCCCTTGTAGAACGATGTACCTCGCCCTCTATCAGGCTGAGCGTTTGAGAGGAGAGTAGGGCGATGGGGATGCTGCCATATCCTTAGTTTCTCCGTATTCCCACTCACTTCTCTTTTAAATCTTGCACACAAGACGTCTTCATCCTTCTTTGGCTCCTTCCCTTTAATACGCTCAAAGACACTGGGATGTGGTCTAGAGTTTTCTTTTTCATCATCTATAACCAATTTGAATTTTAGCAACTTGTTTTTGAAACCAGACGTTATCATATTCACTCCAAGTGGCTGTGGAAAAGGATTTTCATACACTGCCATCTTCTTCTTATCATCGAACGTAATTCGTCCTAATTCAATGGCATCCTGCAACACATGGCGAAAAATCAAGCAATTGTTAGTCAAATGTGACCATGCATTATGTCACTTGCAATATTTTTTTACCCTTTATTTGTTCAGGGTTTGGCAATTTATGCTTATCGCTGAGCTTTATTTGCTTATCCTTATATAATTTATCAAATATAAGGTCAGCTTTGGTTACATCGAACGAGAACGTCCTAACTTTTACGTTTTCATCTTTCATAGGCTCATCCTTATCCGATGGTCTAGGCTTAGCCATTATAGGACAAGTATACGTGTCTCCTTTGACTAATTCGGCCAAACACATTTCGGTCTGATCGTATGACTCGTTATTGATGATATGAACATCAAAATTTGGCCTCTATAATAAGTCCCTTTGCTAGAATTTTTTATCTGCTGCTCTTCTCTTATTAATCGTTCATACCTAATCACGTTCGCGCTCAATTGGAAAAGGTTAGGAAATTCCTTCTCTTGGAATTTCTTTTTTAAATCAAAGCTCAAACAACCTTGAGCGATTTTGACAAATTCTTTTTCGGGCAGAGGTACAAAACATTTACTTCTTGCTGTCTTGAACCTTTGGAGGAAACCTTCTGCCCATTCGTTTGGCATTTGACGTAGGTTCGCCAAATCGGTCAAAGTAACTTCAGACTCAGTCTTATAAAACTGAGCGTGGAATAATTGTTCCAATTGTTGCCATGTTTGAACAGAATTCGCTGGTAAATTGATGAACCAGGAGAAAGCTACTCTTGTTAATGAACTAGGGAAAATCCTCATTTTATTATAATCAGTTACGTCACCACTTTGCAGTGTGAATCGTCCTATGTGTTCTAAAGTAGACACCTCCCCTAAATCGGTAAACAATGAGAATTTTGGCACTTTATACCCTCTAGGCCATGGATATGCTTGGTCTATCCAATCAGGCTATGACTTTGTGTAGGTCGGCCTAATGACAGACGTACCCCAAAAGCCATCTGATCCTGTACAATTTTCATAATCTGATTCCTCAACATGACATTGGGGTCATATGGAATCCCTACAGGTTGGTTGACCGGTTGATTTGCTTGAGGCCTGATATTTGGTCCTTGATTAGGAATAAAATTACCATGATTTGGGCCATTGTTACCATTAGCCTGTACATTTATTCCCTCATTAACATGTGGGGTATTCTGCCCGTTATTTAGGACATTATCTCTTACATTTGGATTACCCCCCAAGTTAGGCGTACCACTACCATTATTCTGATTTGGCATTGCACCATCCCCTTGGTTTGAACTAGAGGGACCGAAATGTGGTTCTACCCGTTGACTTGGATTTGGGACTGGGGGATTATGTCCCACAATTGTCCTAGTTTGAAAATGGTTTACAAGAGGCATAACTAGTTGACAAATTTGGCCTACTAACTTATTCATTATTTCATTCAAAGTGTTCAGTTGTTTGGTCATGTTGTCATAATGTGCATTCTCATTTTGGGTAAATCTTTCCATATTATGAATATTTCGAAGATTTACCTGTTCAACGACATCTTGTGTGAGTTCTCCAAGCAGTGCATGCATAGTTCGAGGACTCAACTCTACCATTGATTCGTAACGACTATTACTGCTCTGATTCTATCCATCTGTTCGTGGAGAGCTATGCTGCTCCTCATATCGCTTGATCACAGACTGGACTCCTCCCTGACTTGCTGCTTCCTTATCGGATCTCTGAGGCATATTGTTTCACCTTTTTATCTTCAGCACCAAATACCAACGTCCCACTGGGCGTGCCAAATTGTTTCGCGCGGTTTAGTCGCTAACAATTAAAAAGGGATCAGACGATTGTGTAAGGGACAAATCTCTTGAGACAAAGTCTCAAAAAGGGGATTTTTTTTATTGGCGATGACTTTACAATTGGAAAGTAAAAACAGAATGCCTCCAAGGGGCGCAACCACATGAGTTACTGTAAAAGAAGTGTTTAAATCTAAACTAAGAAATTGAAAGTTACATATTCTCTGTTTGAGAGTGTTTGATTCGGGGGCCTTTGCTCTATATCTTTTCTTTCTTTTATACTCCCTGGATGATCTCTTCTTGATCAACCGCTTAAAAGCTGCTTGATCGCTCTATAACTGTCCACTTCCCTTGTAGTGGCCAACTTGTCATGAAACTGCATTCTCTAACTGCTACCATTACTTTTGTCGTTCAACCGTCTTCAATTGAATTCCTTGAATCGTGGGACGTGGTAGGACTACCCAATAACTGCTTTATTAACTACACCATAACACCTTATGTTTGTTAAGATGTTGGGCAACTCGAATGTTTGGACGAGAGTAGGGTCACAGCTTTGGGCAACTGCATGGCAATTCATTCGCTCAAATCTTGGGCGACTTGCAACCTTGGGTGATGGTATTACCGCGTTCATGGGCTTCCCTATTTGGGCTTTTATTCTATGTTGCCTGATTGATTCGTTCTTTGGGCTATTTGGTTTTTTGGGGATCTTCCAGTTGGGCTTCATTCCTTGGACTATTTGACTTGGGCTGAACTTTTTGTGTGTCAACAGATATATAAACATAAGCACAAGTTTTTGCACATCAAAATAAGTTACGTGGAAGGGAACACATCAATAATACTTTTTTACATTTCTATTGGACGGATTGATGCTCAAATAAAATTGGCACACTATTTCAGTTGCACCATAAATATAATCGTTGACCTCAAAAAATAGAATTCCGATCACCTCTCCTTCAAGTAGGTGTTACCGATCGAGAAAATAATTTAGCAAGCATTTGCACTCCAACAATGAAGTCAATAGCAGGATGAAAGAAAAATGAGCTCAAGAGATGGGAGATGGAATTTGGCTATATATATATATAATGGAAATGGACCTAGTGGCTAATAGGTCGAGCCCAATATGCAATTGTTTAATTAAATAAGTCCAATCAATTGAATAGTTGATGCACATTGACATATATGAGACCTCATTAGTCATGCCCATGTCGCGTAATTTATAGATGTAACAATAACTAAGCAGTATTTTACAAATATAATAAATATATTATATAGGGCTGGGCTAAAATCAACTCAATACAAACTGACCAATTTGGGTTTGGTTGGATTGAAAAATCAAATATGAGGTTGGGTTGGGTTGGGTCTCAGATTATGAATTAAAACTCAATTCAACCCAACTCAATCCAATTTGATGAATTAAAAAATTTAATACCTAAAATGAAAAAAACTACATATATACAATAGTGGATACAAGAGAAAAATTTAGAATATACAAATATAATGGTTTTTAGTAAAATTGTGGGACAAAGAGATTGCACCCAACAATCGGAAAAACGTAAGAGCACTTGGAACAATCCTCACGTTAGAATGTCTCAATCAAAGAAGGTAATTCTCAGTCGTTGACGATGATTCTTCACTGTTATTGTCTCATAGGTTCCGATTTCTATTTGAATTTGAATTTCAACTCCTTCAGCAATTTAATTAAATTCTCCCATTACAAGAAAATGAACGGTATTTATGGTTTTTCCCAACCCGTTATCCAATGGAACAACTCGAGACCTCCAAGACCTCGTCAAATATGAATCTGAAGATACAGAGGATCACCAACCAAGTTAATTGAAATGATAACTTGAAAATTTTCAAATTCACTAACTCCACCTCCCTCCGCCACCACCAACTATCAAAGGAAAATTAATTTCCCTGTCAAGAGCGTGTGGCCGAGTTGGCAAAGGACATGGCCTGGGAAACTGGGTTTGGCTTCGACGAGGGTTCAATCCACGCTTGAGACATCCGCCTTCTCTTTGGAGAAGATTTAACCGGCTGGTGTGGTTGCGGGTCTCGTGCCAGCCCCCAGGTTTACCTAGTGCGCACTGGTCGCCAGTAACGACTGCGGGTTCCTGGGTTATCAAAAAAAAAAAAAAAAAAAATTAATTTCCCTGTCTTTTTGTTGTAGCTTGTTAAGTAGGCTAAATCTTCACGACTTCTTAGTTTTTAAATGGGGGAACGTGCAGTTCTATTAAAGTTGATGGCATCAACACAACTATCAACCATTCTGAATTGATAAGCTGGCCAATGAAAATTTTCCATTATGACAACATATTATTCTTCATTATATTAATCATTAGTAGTAATTAAATATTGGAGATTTCAATTTATATAATGAAATAACCACCATATTTATATTAATAATCTCCATAGCCAAGTCATGGAAATAAAGAAATAAATGCTATGTAATTCAGAATCTTGGACCAGAATATGTACAGGAGGCACATGAAAGAGATCCATGGATGCATCATCTCAGGTTTCAAACAACAATGGGGGCAGCAGGGTGTGTATGTTCGACACTTAATGCATGTTTGGGATTGTTTATAATTGGTTAAAATTATAAATAGAAAGAAATAAATAATGGATAAGAGGGCATACTTACAGGTTTCACGAGTCTCAAGAAACGTGTGAATAAAAAGTGATTTAACTGATTATAAACGATAGTAAAAAATGAGCATAAACGAACTAGAGTTATAAATAGGGTTTTGGGGTAAGCGCATTTCTTCCATTTAAACCCCACAATTTAATGGAACGATTTGATTTAAAAGTTTATTAATATACAAATAGGGGAAAAATAAAACTTATGCAAACATTTAAAGTACAGTAATTAATTTAATTTATTAATATGTTGTAGGAGTTGAAATTGTACTAGTACCATTAGCATTATTATTCCCACCGACACCACCAGTATAGCTAACGCCACCAGCCATGGAGGTGGCGGCAGTGGACATTTTTCGCCTCTTTTTCTCATAGGATATTCCTCTGGCTTTCGTCTGACTTTCCCTCACTTCCCTAAGATATATTCTCACAGCTTTGGCTGCAAAAGGGTTTAACTCATGACTTCCTCCGTTCTCTTCGTAGGCTGCTCTAAGTCGTCCGATGAGGGCATCAAGGCTCCCCCAAGCCTGTTTCAAAGGGCATGCGCAAGGTTCTTGAGGGTTTGGTTGCCCAAAATAAGGGCACCCCTTCACATGCACCTTAGTTTTCCCAAACTGGTCTAGGTATTTCAAGAACTGGATTACATTGGCTCCGCTGCATTGGGTCTGTGTCAGCGGTGGTTTTTGGTTCTTCAGATACTGTAGGAAAGTTGTCCAGTCCCGGCGCTTCTGAGACTCATAGCGACTCGGTGGCGCAGCCGTTGACCCGCAGTCACCACCCTCGCAGGCTCCTCCACTGCTTGTTGCTGCTGAAGATGGACCCTCCGTTCCCACCCCCGATGCTGAATCCATTGGCTTCAACTCTTCGAGTCAGTAAATTGATATCAAAGAAAGCAAAGGGTTTATAGATTATGAATTCTCCGATCACATGTTCACATCGTGATTGGATTTTGACTGTTCATTGTGCGATTCTTCACGGGTCTTAGTAGATCTTCTTTTCGATAGGTTTCTTTGATTATTGGGGATGATTGGACACGAAAGAAAAAACAATTTGAATGAAGGAATATAAGTGTGGAATCGGAGGGATTGTATTCACGTGGTGGCCCCTTTGCCTTTGAAAATAGTTTACCTTTTCATAACCCAGCGGCTCCTCTACGGTACATATTTGTCCCACCATAAGTGACTAATACTCTTGAACGTAAACCGCATCATTTTACACAACATAAGGAAGAGCCGTATGAGATGAAAATTTCGCATCCGATTCTAGAAAAGGGGTTTTGTTGGCCTCCAACCTTCAACGTGGTATGAAGGTCTCGCTCGACCATGGTACACATGTAACAACCACCACCACTTGCCAACTTAGAAATCAAACAAGTTGAATCGTGCGCTCTGGACGACCTCAACAAATGAGTTTCACTCTTTACTACAACAAAGCTCGGCTGATGGGTTAGGCAAATTAACCTCCTGTTTCATGGCCATTATTTAAAAAAATAAAATAAAATAAAATAAAAAATTCCAACATTCACTTACACATTTACACAATAAAATATTCTGTCCAAAGACAATTTCTTTCTTACTTTATACTAATACATTCTTTTAAAACACTATTCAAAACATTATATTTCTCAAATAATGGCTATCAGGGTTAAATGCTTATGAATGATATTTAACTACCTCTAATCAAGCAGCAATCACTTAAAGGTAGCAATTTTTTTAACCCCAATTGTGCAAACCCACCAAACACGTAGCAAATCTAAAATCTAGGTAATCATTACGCCACTAACATCGCTCTAATCCACCAATCAAAAATTATTGATATATCAAGTTGTACATGAATCGACATTGGATACTGTAGCTAGGAATGACTAAGATGGCCGATAATTTTAATGTCATCCGCTATACAAGAGGAACCATTTCTCGTGTGGCATTGATAATCAAATTTTCTCTTATTAATACATTTTAAGTTTGCATAATTCCCCTTGACTTCATATGAACCTCAAAATTACCACATCACTTCTTTAGCTTTTAAATTTTCCTTTTAGTTGAATCGAAAGGTATCACATCACTTCTTGATACCGTCACGTTCGTTTGAGTGAGTGATGATCTTAAAGAACATGAGCTAAATTGAAAGAAAATTATGCAGAATCTATATAGAATTATTTTGAAGCAATGCACAAGAAATTGATGCATATGGTCGATGTTATGTAGTTTATAGTACACGTCTTATCGCAAGTAACGAAGAACACATGAAAGCTTTCAAATATTAGTTTTGAACACTAGCAAGAAGAAAGTTAATTTTCTATTAAAAAAGACACATTATTTAGCCCTCCATTTAAAAGAATTTTCAAATGTTTTTAATTTATAAATAAATTTAAAGAACGGTGGATAATAATTGTAGATTTATTAAAATATATGATTGAAAATGAAGTTTGACCAATAAATAATTTATAAGTTTTTGCTAAGACGAAGGCTTATATCTTTAATTAAACACTTTTAACAATCAAGTAAGAACACGTCACAATATTAAAACACCAATAACTTTCTCATTGGTTTAGTTTAGTAATAATTTTTAATACTCTCTTTATTTTTTCCAATCACAAATTATTCAATAAAATAATATTACACGTAAGTCGTACATTTCCTTCTTTCTTAACCATACCAAAAAATTACTATTCCAAAACATATTTTTCCAAAAATCTCATTAAAATAGAGCCAAACAGTTTCTTAATAAAATATTTCCAATTCTTGACGACTCAAATCAGTAGATGACCAGATTAACTTATTGAGGTTGAACATATCGGTCATGCTTCATTAAGAATATATTTTATTTAAACTTCCCGTGATGGATAATGAAATAACTATTAAATAAACCTATAGTTCAATTTTACATTTAATTGAATGTATCTTCTATATATTTGATTAGTAAGTGTAATTTGAACAAAGTTGGTTTAGTGCCTCATTTTCATTCGAAAGTCAAGGTTCAAATCACCTTGGGCCAATCAGATAGGCCAACGTGTGTGCCAATTTTCATTTACTTAAAAACTATAAGTTTGATCGGTTCGTGTATTCTTGTGTAGTCTAGTTTAATTAATTACTTGACTCAAATGATTATAAAGTTCGCTATTGTCCAATCATTTTTTAAAGACAATGTAAATAAGAACCAAAAACATCGACATTTACTTGCCACATTAGTCCAAATATAAGGCTTAGACGAGGTAGTTTGGAAACACGTAAAACTCATACCATCAACATGTTTTGTTAGACACCCTGGATGTCTCTACTACAACCATTGTAGAATTGCAAATTGGCATTAAGTCCCTATTTGGCATAGATTAAAATCTTAAAAAAAATTAAAGTTAAAGTCAACAATTAATTTTAACTACGATCAGATGTTAATTAATTACAAACAAACACAAAAACATTTTAGGAATAATCTAACTTACTTTCTCACTAGGTTTTCCTCCCTTGAGGGTTCATTCTTATACTTGACAATTCCTATAGAAGTGACAATTTTCTCGGTAAATTTTATCGAACTAAATCCTCGTTAAAATTGTTGCTAATAGCTGTCGAAGAAATTCTCAGATATTTTTGGACGAACTTGTATATATAGCGATAATCAATGATGGTTATGTTGCCAAATAAAAATTACCAACGAGATTTTCACTTTAAGTATGTATAGACGAGAAAATACGTTGATCAGTGGGGTTACCAGATGAATATTGGTCATTAGCGATATAAATACCCATTTTTGAAGCTGTAATTTTTAGTAGCGCGTGTTTAAAGTAACTATATTTTTATTCCATCAATTTTATTGAGAAGACTTTGACATGTCTATGGTATAATAGGTACGGCTAAAGTCGTCTTGATGACGCCAAGTAGTCACGTAAGTCATAAAAAAAATTAAGGTCGTGATTGGTTTGCCATTTTCGGCTCATTTTTCGTTTTCCATTTTCGAAAACACAGAAAAACACTTTTGGTCCGTCATTTTCGAAATCGAGTTAAAATTTATAACTGAAAACGCGAAACAATTTTTTAGCGTTTTCAGCGTTTTTAGTTATAAATGTCAAAAATGCTCAAAAAGCGGAAAATAGGTCATTTTCGGGGAAAATTAAAAATAGTTTTGAAAATGAAAATGGAAACCAATCGCACCTTAACATTCTCCTGTTTTAAAAATATATATACATCTTCTTCAATATTAGACGCAATTCTTCAAAATGGTAGGAATAAAATCAATGGTTTCTATTAGTTTTTTGTTCTTAATTGCTTCCAATTTTTTTTTGATGATGATTATTTCCAGTTCTTTATTCAGAAGAACTAGAGAATATATGATAGAGATGATTATTATATTTATTTTTTTCCATTTTAAAAGATAGTTATATTATATGTATATAACAACTTCCAAATTTGTTTATCAATAGATTAAAAAAAACAAAAAAATCTCAATTTCTTTTTACCAGTAACTCGCATAAATAAGCAAAGCATTTCAAATGGTGCAGAAATTTTTACAATTTTAATTTATTCCCTGTTTGAGCCGCATTCATCTAAAAATTCATTTTTCCAAAACTTGTTTTCAATCACACATTCTATAGGTATGGCAGTGGGCCGAGTCGAGCCGGCTCGGCTCGTTAACCCACTAGCTTGGCTCGGGCTCGTGGCTCGTTTTTCACGAGCCGAGCCCACGAGCGACTCGCGAGCTCGAGAATTATTATTTTTATTTTTTTATTTTTTGCAAATTTTTCAAATTTTATTGATAAAATTTTATTTTTTTCCACATTTTTGGATGAACCCGCTCGTGGGCGCTCGACAAGCTCGAGCCGAGCCGGACGGGACCCCGCTAGGCTCGAGCTCGGGCTCGTCATTTGACGAGTCCGAGCAGCTCACGAGCCGAGCTTTGACGAGCCGATAGTCGGCTCGGCCCAATTAACATCCCTAACATTCTATAATAAAATAATATTATATGTAAATTTAAAATTTTCTTAATTTTTAACCACACATTCTACACCAATCTATTATTCAAAATGCATTCTTTTTTTCAAAATAGGGCTCAAATAAGGACTTAAATATCATCAGTCTATAAAAGAATCTATAAATAATAATGTACACTAAGCATTCACCTTCAAAACATCTCATACGTTGTGAACATCAAGAGATGATAAAATGGGCATATTGTTTTGAGGATTAATATATGTGTACAAAATAATTTACTAAAAATTTGACAAACTCGATACTTGGTGGCCCCATGTTGGAGGGGTTTTGGCTTCACAACCTCTCCTCCAACAGGCGGCTGCCAAGTGTCGAATTTGTCAAACTTTTTGTAGTTGATTTTGTACTTATAGCATAGTCCGAATTACTTTATAAATTATTTTAATTTTTAATAGGTTTTGATAAAATTAAGATTAAAATGTTGAGTTGTGGTTCTTGTAAATCTCATATTAAAAAAATAAATTTCAGAAAAAACAAATTTTGAAAAAGTTGAGACCCAAATATAGACAAAGTTTTGAGACGAAACTCCAGAGAATTGGTGGTCCATACTCCTAAACATGGACCCCTCCGTACAGGATGGATTCCTTGGTTGCAGGAAGTCGGGCCCCCGCCTGTCGAATTGTTCCACAAAGAAACCATGCCCAGTATGCGGCAAGGGAATTGAGAAATGCATGGACGTTGAAAAGAAGACTAAAAACTTAGGTGGGCTATTCTTCTGTAGTACGAACGACTGTGGTAATTTCAAGTGGCTCGACGAAGAAGAACTTTGGCAATTTCAGGGCGAGTCAAGTGCTACATCGGACGAATTGGAGTTATCAAGTTTGTTGAAGAATGTTGCTAAAATAACCGAGGAAAATGACGTGGATATTTCTGTGAAATTTACTTTTCGCAAGGGAAATGGAGAAACAAACAATGGGAAACCAAATGGAGGAGCTGCATGAAATTGAACAGCTTATGTTTCCGTTTATTTGTAGGCTTCAAAAGTAGAAATTAGGTGAATCCCAGTAATTTCAATGTTGTGTATGTAATTTTGAAGTTTGTAGTGTGAATCCCCTATTAAACCTGTGTTCAATAAGAACAATCATGATATTGTGTCTTTCATGTAGTTTGGATGTACCTCTGGTGTGACTTATTAAAAATATGTTTCAACAACATCTCTGGTGTTTA